TAGCAATTATGCAAGGGGCCGCCGATGACGAGGCAGGTCAATTCATGTTGCATTATATCAGTATGGGCGAAAGCCACAATAACTAGGACCAAAAACTTTGCCCCGTTGGAAACGATCCTTAACTGCCAAAAAGGGACCGCTAGTGATGTGGTCAACCATTTGATGATGTGTTTAGCTTGTTACCTGACCGAGGTTTGCTCGGATGACCGCATAATCGGCCGTGCTCTGACGGTTAGTTTCAGTACCAACTGGACCTCTGGTCGCCGTCTTACCCGGTTGAAGAGCCCCTGCCGTCCTTGTCAATGCCCTCGGCTAGGAACACACTAAGCCAGGCGGTTGCGGAGTTCAATACCCGTTTCTCGATGCCTTACGTTTTAGTTCTATGTGATGAGGCTGCCGCGCTAGATGTTAATGTAGTTGAAATTTAGAAGTTTCGTGCGCCGAAATTCAGACCCCGGGCAAGGATCGATGGCAATATCACTGAGAACGGCGCTGAGCCTAGCGCGTTTCTCAACTTTAGCTCGGTTCAGAGGAAGGAAGGCCGGCGCAGAGGGCGTTGTATGACGCGTTCGTAAGACGTGCCGCGCTGTTCCCATGGGAGCTGAACCAGCGAGCATACGACTTGGTGTGCTGTTGCTGTGCTGGAGTCAAAAGCCGATTCATTGGATCCGGGGCGAATGGGTGCTGTGTTTATTCAAGTGAAGAATCAGTCGAGAGGTTTGCAGGAGTCGGGGCTTATCAAGGAGATGGCGAAGGAAGGCGCGATGGCTGGCTTGCCGGAGGATAGATGCCGGTACTGGGCGCTACAACGAGTGGTGCCGACCGGCTCGAAGTATCGAAGCGTCCGCTCCCCAAACCGTGTGTCGTTCTCCTTCACGCAAAATTCTTCACGGCTTCGATGGTGAATGCCAAGGGTTGCTCAATTCGTTACTCCTTGGCAATACAAAGTTATTGGACGCCGTTGACCACGGTGAGAAACCCACGACCCAACTCGAAGCTGAGCAACTCTTCTACGAACAGGTCAGTTGACTGGCTGGGACGGAAAGTGACGTCGACGATGACAAATCTCCGAGATGCCGTCCGCGGACTCGGACGTAATTAGGCACCACACACAAGGACAGGTGTGTGTGGTCCCACACACAAGTTGTCCTGGCCTTGTTCTGTCGCTCATCACTTTCGAACGCCCTAGCACCACCCTCGCCGCAAAAGCAGCCCGGATCCATACAGCAACCAGCCGCTCTGGTTTCTTTCCTCCCCATCATCCGCATCGGTGTTGCCGCGGCCCTTGGGTTCGGCGTCGCTGTTAATCACGGGGATATCACGCCTTGAGCAATTGCTCAAGGTTCGAGGCTCGGTGTGCGTGTGTTCAGTGCTACTCTCGCCGAGTCGTGAGCTTGCCGTTAATGGCCCCTCATCGTCATCCCCTCTCGCGATTGAGTGGTCGATCGTGGTGGTTGTATCGCTAGCGCATCCCCACTCCCAAAAACCCAAGACGGACCGGGTCTATCCTCACGTTTTCACCTCACCTCCCGTTCTCACCTCTGGACGTGAGGTGCAATTGGGACCCGACCGATCTTGGAACCCGACCGGTTTTGCGACCCGACCGGTCTCGTGAACATCTGAATTCAACTCAAAGACTGGTCGGCTCCGTGCGTGGTTGTTTTCACGTTTGTATATTCACGTTTTTTTACATCCTTCTTAACTGAACCGAGCTGTACTGAACCGCGCCCAAGCGAAGGTGTTACAAACGCGTACTAGACACACGCTTTGCAGTTGCAGAGACACTACGCAGTAGCCCCATCGCGCGCGCGCGTGTGTTGTTGAGTGAAGAGATCTCGATAATGGCGGAGGTGTTAGTTTTGTGTGGTCCGGGCATGGGTCACTACAACCCGTGTGTGCAGTTAGCGCGTGCTGTTGCGGCGTACGGTGGAAGTGCGACGGTGTTTACATATTTGTCTCCACAGCAGCTAGCGCGCGCCGGAGTAGAGCGGGTGTCGGAGGAGACGTGTCTCTGGCGCGAACTGGAGCCGCGCGTCCGGCTGCTTTGCGAGGTGGCCGAATCCGAAAGCATGGTCGACGTGATCCGGGCCACGCTTGAAGCCACGGATCGCTGGGTCGAGCGCGTCAAGGCGTTTTATAGGAAGCCAGACTGCTCGTCTGTCCTCGACTCGTCTGTCACTGACTCGTCTGTCCCCGACTCCGCCTGGCCGAGCTTGGTGGTAGCCGATATCGGAGTTTCTTATGATTCCGTGCTGGCCCAGTACTTCCGCGCTCCAAGTTACTCGTTTTCACCATCGCCGCTATACTACGCCCTCTGCGACGAAGCTTTGTTCCGGAGTGTGCTGAATCCCTGCCAGGTTGAGTTGCCCGGTATTTGCACGCTGCAGCCAGACGAAGGTCTCGTCCTTGACCCCGCGTTGTTGCCCCTTCTCGCGAAGGCCATGGCAACCGAGGAGGTCGCGCGCGCAAATCGCGCTGGCGTCATCATTAACGACGTGCAAGCCTTCTATACTTCTCAAACAATAGACGCGCTACACAGACGGGAATTCAGCCGTCAGTCCGCCTTGGGCCCCCGCCCGGGCTTTGAGGTGTATACTGTTGGTCCCCTGCTGAAGTTTGACGATCGGTGTTCTGTATTTGGGGCGTATTCACGAAATAAGACGGATGGAATCAGGCAGTGGTTGGAAGACAAAGCGCGGGGTAGCGTCGTATACGTATCGATGGGTAGTGCATACGATCTGGCCCTGCAGGATCTAACTGAGCTGGCCCACGGACTGACTTTGGTGGCTGACGCTCTGAACTTATTTGTGCTCTGGGCACATAGACCGGTGCAGTTGGAACCGGCGGCAAACTCGGGCCTGGATAGCAGCGGGCTACCGGCAGGCTGGTTGGAGGCCAACACGCGCCGCGTGAAGGTCTGCCCTTGGGTCGACCAGTTGCGCGTGCTGCAGCATCCGGCGCTTGGATGCTTCGTCACACACGCAGGGTGGAATAGTTTGCTGGAAAGTGTTTGTGTAGGACACGCTCCCCTAGTGTGTGTCCCGTTATCATTTGAGCAGCCGGCAAACGCGTGTGTTGTTGAAAAGTATTTCGAGATTGGTACCCGTGCAAGAAAGAACCCAACGACTGATCCCCTCGAGCGAAACAGATTCGCTGAGACCATCGAAGACACGCTGCGCAACGCAACACATTTCCGAGAACGATTGCAGAAACTACAGGCCCAGGCAACCACTGCCTGGGACAACCACTTGGGAAGCAGCGCACATACTCTCAGATCCCTACTTGACCTAATAGTTAGTTAATTAGTCTAGAGGAGTCTAGCGGGGTTTTTGTTACACTCTCCGACTCGTCGATCAATGATCAGAGAAAAGATGTCTCTCCTATTTTCGTGCGGTGCAAATGAATTCTCATTAGGCTCACTGGAGACCGGACGGAACGGTTCCAAAGGTGGTGCTTCGGGGGGTAGCAAAGGTGGTGCTTCGGGGGGTTCCAAAGGTGGTGCTTCGGGGGGTAGCAAAGGTGGTGCTTCGGGGGGTTCCAAAGGTGGTGCTTCGGGGGGTAGCAAAGGTGGTGCTTCTGGGGGTAGCAAGGGCGTTTCGAGGGCGCTTCGGGTAGTTTCGAGGGCGCTTCCAGGAGCTCTAGGGATATTGCGGGGAAGTACCACCATCGCAATGTCTGTTTCCCGGCTCTGGGGCTGACGGTCCCGCCTTCGAATCCAAAACGGCACTGTATTCATCAGCAGCCGCCGTGTCCACCTCTCAGGTTGGCGTTGTACCTCAGGGGCCTCGTCTTCCAGCGCCGAGGGTGCTTCATCAGGCGCTGCGGGGAGCTCCAAAGGAAGTTCCGCCATCAGAGTCCTCGTTTCTCGTTCCTCGAAATAACTGTCCTGCCTTCGAATCCAAAACGGCACTGTGTTCATCAGCAGCCGCCGTGTCCACCTCTCAGGTTGGCGTTGTACGTCAGGGGCCCCGTCTTCCAGCTCCGAGGGTGCTTCATCAGGCGCTGCGGGGAGCTCCAAAGGAAGTTCCGCCATCAGAGTCCTCGTTTCTCGTTTCGCGAAATAACTGTCCTGCCATCGAATCCAAACAGGAAGTGCCTTCATCAGCAGCTGCCGTGTCCACCCCTCGTCTTTGGGGCTGCGTGGGGACTTGTCACCGTCTCGGTAGTCGGGATTATCGAAGTCGGGATAACCGGACTTTCTCCGTCGGCCGAGCCGTGTAAGTCTTCGTCGCCACCCCAGGACGGCAGGGGGTCCGTAGGCGCTCCCGGGTGGAAAACGAGAGGGTGCTGGAACAATGACGCAGTTTTTTTTGAGTTTGATTTCGAGCAAGCAGTCGAACTGCCTGACAACGGCGTCCAAGTCGGGTAGCGTCGGGAAGGTGGGCAGCGGGCAACGCATTCCCTCGGGGTCCAAGCTGGCGAAGGCTACGGCCTCGTTGTGGGTGTCCCACCAGTTTCGGATCATTTGCTGCATCTGCCAGGATACTGATCCGAAATCATCAACGTCCATCACGCCTCTCAGGAAACCCGCGATCGAAACCAGCAAGGCGCCTCTCGCGCGGAAGTTATTCAACAGATTATGCCTGGCCGTTAGCCGCAGAGTCGCCAAGGGCTCCGTTGATCGGACGTCTGCGCTCCTCGGCAATAGGCGAGCGTCCGGCAGATTGTGCAAGATTTCCAAGGCTGTTTGCAAAGCGAGTACTTGTCGAGCCCCTGCTGAGCGGCCATTGGCCCAAAACTCCTCGTCCGCCAGCTCCGCTACGTCCAGCCACTCACCGTTGAACGACACCGGCCAGACCACGTGAGCCAACAGCGCTGCTCCCACCAACACGTCCATTGTGCTTCCTGGCACACACTTCATTTCTGTAGAATGTCGAACGAAAAAACCAGGTAGATATAATTCCGGAATGGATGGGGCATCACGCGGCGCTGATCTTCGAACTGTAGTGTTCGCTACCAGTAGCGACAGTAGGCAGAATCATTACAATAGCGACCTCGAGTAACGACCCAAACAATTCGAACCCTTGGGTGGTTTTGCTAGCAACCCTGGGTACATGAAACGCCCGCGCTAGGGGGGCTGTTGATAATTCCTCCATCAGAATATCTGCTTCCCGGCTCTGGAGCTCAAGGTCCTGCGTTCGAATCCGAAACGCCATAAGACGATCCCTCGGTGTCGATTCGGCTAGCTTGCATCTGCGGTTGCTTACTCTTTAAAACCCTTGCCGGACGGGCGAGGCCAACAACTGGACGCCGACATTGCCCACGCCGACATTGCCCACGAACATACCAAGACGCCCCCTCGCCTTCTCAGTTGAAGGGTCATTCCCAGGAACTCGTCCCAGTTGGTCTCTGTCCTCATGCTAATGTCTCCTGCTTGTTCTCTGCCTGCTCCTCCAGCTCCCGCTGCCCTGAGAGATAGTCTTGAGTTACCCACCTCAGCAGCGAGTCCGTGCACAGTTTAAACCTTCACACTTGGTCCTTGTGAACCGTGACGTCCACCCCGGCACGTCGCATCTTTCTGCCACTACTTGCGTTACCTTATCTCTGTTATCCTCATCGGTAGCGACCGTGCAGTGTGTGCCCAAGTCGGTGTCTCTCGTCCTCCCCTGGCAACCACCTGCGATCCTGGCTCCATCGAGACTACCACTACTTCTCTTACCTGCAGGTTGTCCGCGCCCGACTCCTCGAGCGGACGATTTGTGAGCATGGCCTTTTGCAACCTCTCCCGCAACTTTGCCGCCTGGTTCTGTTTCCTCTGCTCCTCGGTCATTGTGCCGGTTACCTCTTGCAACTACGCGAAGCACGGTGGCCTTCCGAGCAAGGCCTCGTACGACGTCGCGCCTGTGCTAATGTGTAGTGTCCTGTTGTGCGTGCGGCAGAGCGTCGCCACCATCCTGCCCAAGCCGCAGTGTCCTTCCTGCCAGAGTGCTCTGAATCCGCTTCTGACCGCCTTGTGGGACGCTTCGTTGGTGCCGTTCCCCTGTGGCCTGTACGTGGATGCAACCCAGCGCGCTCGCCACCATATCGTGGAACGCCCCCCTGGAGCTTCGGCACCAACTCTGCCCGTCTAGCTGCATAGGTCCCTCGTGATCTAAGCTTACTGCGTCCATGGCGGTCGGATTCTCCAGGCTCCCTTTCGGTACGCTGTGCGTCAGCCGGGCTCTCGTTCGAGTCCGAAATATATCAGGTACTCCCTCCCCACCCTCGCTACGTCCTCCGCAAGTCCGGACCAGACGAACATGCTGGCTACTCTCTTTCAGTACTCCCGCGTGCCCATTGGTGCCATACTTGAAGTTCAATACCACTTTCATTCTCAGTCGCTCCGGGACGCACACCTTGCCAGTCACAGCCTGCCGCCACCACTTGCCATCCTTCCTAACTCCAAGCACTCCTTGCGGCTCCAGCTGCCGGTACTCTCTCCTGAAGTTCTCTTCCGACACCTGGTGGGTCCCCAGCAGTCGGGCCACATGACCCATCTACCGCCCAAAGCCATTGCCTCGATCTTTGCGTCGCACTCTTCGTCTTCCGCTGCGTACCGGGACAACCTGTCCGCCACGTTGTTCCTTTCTCCCGACAGGAACTCCAGGGTGAAGTCGAACCTACTGAGCGCCAGCGCCCAGCGGAACACCTTCCCTACTCCCACAAGGTGGCGTAGGCTGGCGTGCTCTGTGCGTACGGTGAAGTGGTGGAGCGCTACGTAATAGCACCACTTCTCTACAGCCCACTTGACGCCGAAGAGCTCTCTCTCTCTCTCCCGTGTCCCACTTTCTCTCCGCGTCGATAAACTTCTTAGATGCGAACTCCAAAGGGACTTCTCTACCCTCCTGCACCTGCTTCAACACTGCGCCAGTACCCACCTCCGGCATCTGTTTCGATGATCAGCGGCGTCCCTGGGACAGGCGTACGGAGCAAGACTCACCGGCTACCGCCTGCTTGAGCTCCCTGAACGCCTGTCCGACTTGACGAGCAACCTGCCCTTTTTCAGCAACTCGAACAGCGGGGCAGTGTACTCGGCGAATTGCGGGATGAAGGGTCGTAGGTAACCAACGGCTCCTAGGAAGCTCCTAGCGTGCGATCGTCGAGTACCTCCTCGAACGCCGTGTCCATCGCGCGCCGGAACTCTGCTGGCGAGTTCTTAATCCCGAAGGGGATGAAC